TATTCCCTCTAACTCCACTTGGTTGAGAGTTTTTATCATAAATGATTGTTGAATTTTGTCAAATTCTTTTTCTGCATCAATTGAGATGATCATACAATTTTCATCCTTTGTCTTGTTGGTATGGTGTATCATGTGGATTGATTTGTGAATATTGAACCATCCTCACATCCCTGGAATAAGCCCACCTAATCATGGTAAATGATCCTTTTAATGTATTGCTGCATGAAGTTTGCTAAAATTTTGTTGAGGATTTTTGTATCTATGTTTATCAGGGATATTGAACTGTAGTTTTCCTTTTTGTGGTGTCTGTCTGATTTCAATATAAGGGTAATGCTGACCTTGGAGAACATATTTGGAAGCTTTCCTTCCACTTCTATTTTTTGGAATAGTTTGAGGAGAATAGATATTAACTCTTACCTAAATGTCTGATAGAATTGACCTGTGAAGCCATCTGTTCCTTGACATTTTGTTTGTTGGGAAGTTTTTGATAACTGATTCAGTTCTGTTACTAGTAATTGTTGTGTTTAGATTTTCTGTTTCTTCCTGAGTCAGTTTTGGAAGACTGTATGTTTCTAGAAATTTATCCATTTTTTCTAGGGTGTCCAGTTTGTTGGCATATAATCTTTCATAGTATTCTCATAATCCTTTGTATTTCATGGTATTGGTTGCTACTTCTCTTTCATTCCTGATTTATTTATTTGGGTCTTTTCTCTTTTTTCTGGATGGCTTTTGCTAAGGGCTTATCAACTTTGTTTATCTTTTCGAAGAACCAGTTCTAGGTTTCATTGATTATTTTCCAGTTTTTAAAGTCTCTTTGCTATTTATTTCCTCTCTCATCTTTATTATTTTCTTCTTTCTATTCATCTTGGGCTTTGTTCTTCTTTTTCTAGTTCCTTTAAGTGTAAGCATGTGTTGTTTATTTAAGCTGTTTTTTTTTTAATTTTTTTTCAAGTTTATTTATTTTTGAGAGAAAGAGACAGAATGTGAGTGGGAAAGGGGTAGAGAGAGAGAAGGAGACACAAAATCCAAAGCAGGCTCCAGGCTCTGAGCTGTCAGCACAGAGCCCGATGTGGGGCTCGAACTCACAAGCCGTGAGATCATGACCTGAGCTGAAGTCGGACACTTAACCAACTCAGTCACCCAGGTGCCCCTTTAAGCTGTGTCTTGTTTTTTGAGGTAGGCCTGTATTACCAAATATTTCCCTTTTAGAACTGTTTTCACTGTGTCCCAGAGATTTTGAACCATTGTGTTTTCATTTTCATTTGTCTCCATGGAGTTTTTGCTTTCTTCATTGACCCATTGGTTGTTTAGTATCATGTTGTTTAATCTCCATGTATGTATTTTTTCTAGTTTTTTTTCTTGTAATTTATTTCTAGTTTTATACTGTTGTGGTCAGAAAAGGTGCATCATATGATTTCAGTCCTCTTGAATGTAATGAGACTTGTTTTGTTGTCCAATGTGATGTATTCTGGACAATGTTCCATGTGCAGTGGAAAAGAATGTGTATGCTGCTGCTTTAGGATGAAGTGTACCATACATATCTGTTATGTCCATTCGGTCTAATGTGTTGTTCAAAGATACTGTTTCCTTACTGAATTTCTGCTCTTTGACTTTAACATTTACTATTGTAATGCTTCAGTCATGAAACTGAGTCATGAGCCTTCTTTCCTTCTTTGATTATATCTTTTCCAGATTCAATCTTATTAAATTCCATTACTTTAAATATTATGATATTCTAATGATTTCCAAATTAAATACCTACATAAGACAGTTCTGTTAAATTCTAGACTTGTGTGTCTGAGAGCCTGTACCACATCCCTATTTCTGTATCTAGTAGGCATCTCAAATTTAATTGATCAACATAAAACTCTTTTTTAAAAAATTCAGGTCTACTGAGGTATAATTGATGTATATTGTCAGATATTTAAAGTATAAATCATGGTGATTGAATATGCCTACATAGTGTGAAAGGATTCCCCTTATCTTGTTAGTTAATACACTCATCACATCCATCACCTGACGTATCTATCTATCTATCTATTTATTTATTTATTTATTTATTTATTTATTTATTTATTTTGGTGAGCATTCTACTCTTTTGGTGAGAGTTCTACTCTTTTCACAAGTTTCAACTACATGGTAGTGGTAGTTGACTATCAACTATAGTCACCATGTTTTTCCTTGGATCTTCAAACATTTTTCAACTTATGGCCAGAAGTATAGACCCTTTTACCAACCCCTCCTATTTCTCCTACTTCCATGAAACTTTTAATCAGTCCTTCCCTAAAATCTGTTTCTCCTGGAGGCTTCCCATCTCAGTAAATGACATTATTCATCCAGTCACTCAAGCCAAAAAACTAGGAGTTTTTCTCACTTCCCATATCCAATCTGTAAGTGATGTTAGTTTTATCTCCAGTGCCACCTTTAGACCTAAACAAATGAGGTGACCCTTTTCCTTAGACTTTTGTCTCAAGAGACCCCACTGAAAGTATTTGCCTGGGAAATTTTCTAAATCTCCCCAAAGTGCCTGGGACAAACATGGGAAGGCAGTGCCATGCTGACAAGGGTGCCTCAAGCCCAGATTAGGATGTATATGGTCCCCAATCCCCTTTAACCATCCGACACATGTGGGTTCCATCTATTGCCCCCTGACCTCTGAAACTTGAACTTATAGAGTGATTCTGGAGCTCTTATGCCACCTCACACCTGTCAGAACCCTTATTCCAGCAGGCCACCTCTGATTCCAAACTGCTGAGTGGATCTCTCCCACAGGCCTTGAGATTAGATCACCAGAACCAAGCCAACACACTGATTTGGAGCTACTTCCGTTCATGCTGGACATAGGACACGTTAGGGCTTGAGTTGTGTCATAGGTTTATGCATGGGCTCGTATCATCTGTGGTCTGACTAAGATTCCACCTGGTCTATACCAGTGGGAATGCAAAGGGTGGTAGTAGTCATCCATTACCCTGTGTAAGTCTTCAGGGCCAGAACCAGTGTGATCACGCACCCACCCTGGAGGCTGTGTGGCACATCCGACACACAGTCTTCCAGAGGTGGCTGCATTTATTGCTTTCTAGGGCCTCAGGACTATTGTCCTGCAATGGCAGTGACTGATCCTCTCTTGCCTCTGATTAATATTCATCAACAGGAGAATGGGTATTGGTGTGAGTATACTGCAAACAATTGATACATGAAAAAGCACGGAAGAATCTCAAAACATTATAATTAGGGAAAGAGGCCAAAAGGGTACGTAATATGTGATTCCTTTCAGATGAAGGTCAAGAACAAACAAATTGATCTGTTATGATTTTTGATTAGGATGAAAATGTTCTGTATAACTTTTCAAATTGAGGTGGTGGTTATGTGGATGTACACATGAAAATTCACTGAGCTATGTAATTAAGATTTGTATATTTCATTGCATGTATTTATAAAGCATTAACAATTAGACCAAAAAAAAAAAAAAAAGAAAAATATGTACTGAATGATAGAATAAGAAAATTGTTTAATACACACAAGAAAATGTTCAACAAAGCCTACAATACACTTTTCCTTTAGAATGACACTAATCTCAGTGGATTTCAAACACTTACTAATGCTGCATATTTTAAAACAGTAATTATAAGTGCTAATGAAACAACATCAATTGCTATTCAGAATTTCAAGCCAAAAGTTTAAACTCTTATTAACCAAAGAAATTTTTTTAAAAAAGCCATAATTTCTAGTCTACAAACAACAGAAATTGCCCTAATGTCTGCCCATTGCAAGCAAACTATATCACACTGTGAGCAACACTTACAAACCTATGATAACAGCAAGATGACCTTCCCTTCTGGCTCCATGAGATAAACAGCTTAACATCCTAAATAATGCCACATGAATACTTATCTTGGATAGCAGCAACAATGGAACATATTTATAAACCATGGTTTGTAAGTTTCATATTCTGCTATTTATGGTTTTCAAATTCTGTCATTTTTCTTCTCACTGTAAATTTCCTATTTAGTCCCTGCTTCTCAGTTCCCAGGGTTGTACCACAATTTAAGACTTGGCACACTTCTCATGAAGAGTGAAGACGGCATAATAAATATGAGGACATTTACCCAGATTGTCATTTGATTCTACTTTCAGTGATGGCATCCACAGATGGAGGGGCCTTTTGACTGACCAACTCAGCATGTGTTATGACCCATGATGTTAAACCCCTTCCCCATTTCATTCCCTGTCTTCTTCTCATGCTCCAGCTTTTTTCTCTATCATTTTTCTTATGATTCCCTCAGCCATACTCTAGAATTCAAGGTAATGACTTCCTACTGCATTTTCTACTGCGGGCTTTTCACTCAGTCTTCCTGGATCCATCTGGCATTCTGTCCTTAATATGTACTACCAGCTCCATAGGTCGTGTATCCTATATAGGACCCTATATAGGATCACCTGTTGGGAATATTTCTGTTTGCTTCTGCAAGTTAACTGACATCTTTGACTGTTTCACTCACACTTGTTCACTGTCTAGCTTCTGACTGGATTTTGCAGGTGACTCTTACCAGCCAGATACTGGTAGTGGGAAGGGAGAGGGAGAGAGAAATGGGAGTATTAAGTTTTGTGGCAGAGGGTTTGCAGTAGCTGCATTCCACTAAGACCACCATTATTTTCCGGTGACTTCTCTCCCACAACTATACATTTTGCTGAGCTCCGGTAGAAGCCACCCCCTCCACCCCTTCAAGTCACATTAGGGTAGATGCTTCTCACCATTTCTAGTCCCAGATTCTTCGCCACTTGTGCATTCCTGGAACCTGCCCAGAGCCTCTCACATCATCTCTTCCTAAAATTCTTTTTGCTTTCCTCTTTGGGTGTGATGTCTCCCAAGACCCTGTCTGATACACCTGCTTAACGTAAAACAAAATAAAACATGAGCCTTGAATACTGTGACCATCTCAGAGGACATGATTGCTTTCTCAGTTTTAAAATAATTCGTGTCTGTTGCATCTTACAGGATGTGTGTATGGAGCTCAGTAGCAGCCTGGCAGCCTCGTGGACTCTGCTGAGTGTTTTCTTACACTGGGATTTCCCTGGCCTAGAGACTGAAATCACAGAACCATGGAATCCAAGCCAGAGGGGCTTTCTCTGTCATCTGAGATAGTACTGATTTTCGGCTACATGTACTGGAGCCAGCCAGGGCCCGGGCTGTGGGGCTGACAGAGTAGGGAGCAGGTAAGACTCCATGTCCCTCCCAACCCCCTCTGCACAACTGGCTCCACTCCTACCTGTTGTGGTGTTTGACCTTTTACAGATGGTTGGGCCTGAACTCTGTTGTTTAAGGTCAACCTCTGGAAACAAGTATTATTGAAATAGTAAACAACAGCTGGATTTTCACAAATGTTTGCTAAATGTTGGGATAACTGCTTTAAATTTGTTATGTCATTGAATTAGGACCCTTCCTCCTCCCCGTGCCCCCAAAAAAGTAATGAAAGCTCCTCCTCCCCCAGACTCAGATTTTCCCACATTTGAGTGTATCATTCTGTGCTGTGATGTTTGGCCCTTTCAGCTGATGGCTCTCAAGAGGATGAGGAAATGAGAAAGCCACATACCAAGGTATCTTTAAGGCTTATTCACTGGAAATATTTTATTTCTCTAATCAAATCAATCACCTGAAAGGGTAAACCTGGCTGTTTTCCTCATGGTGAACTGACTTGTGATGAGGGATTGCTTCAATAACATCTACTAAAGATTCCCTGAATATCCGCTATGTGTGAGACACTGTTCTTTCAGTGACAGAAGAATGATCAAGGCAAAGCCTGTGTTCTCAAACAGCTCACCAACATGAATGCCCTCAAAGTGACCATGCAAACAAAGTTTTACCTACGTCCCCCCGATTGTAGTTCATGAAGGGCCCCTGGAAACCATCTGATCCATCCCATTCATTTTATACATTAACTCCAATTATAAGCGGTGTAAGCAGGTCACAGATCTTAAATTCATAGACTCTTTGGCTTAATATTTAAAATTTAAATGGCTGGAGGTCTCCATCCCTTGTATCGGGGAAATAGTGTGTCTTGCCCAAGGTGTGCAGTTTGTCAGGGATTTAAATTTGTATGGGCCAGTTCCACTCCAGACTTGTGGTTTTAAGCCCTTGGTCTTATTCAGGAGTTCCCTCCTGCAACCATTCTGTTGTCTGTGTCTGAGATGTCGAGACAGTGAACCAGGTCCCCACCTGTGATGTCTCAGAAGCATCACCTATGCAAGTCTGTCTGCAGTTTTGAGGATGGGGGTGAGATGCATCGCCACAGACTGAATCATGTAAAATTTAATATTAAACGTCCTGATTCACAAAAGTCACTTGACATTCTCTGCATGAGAAATTATGTGGAAGAAATAACATAATCAGCTGGGTCTTAAAGTGCAGTAGAATTTTTACAGTTAGAAACTGGGGGAAAGGACATTCAGGGAGGAAACACCAGAGGCAAAGGTAAGAATAGTAGATGTGTGTGAACACAGATCTTTCGTTAAAATGCCTTTCCAGATTGTCCACCCAGTGTCACATGGACACTGTTCATCTGGCACAACAGGAGCCTGAACTGGCCTAGGGATTGTGGTTTGACTAAATTGAAGGTTGATAAGTAGTATTGTGGACAAAACTTAAAAAGGAGGTTTGTAGGGGATAAATGATGGAGAATTAGCCAAATTTAGTTTTTCTGAATTTGTTAGCCCAATGAAAGCGTGGGAAGGTTTTTGAGCAGCAATACTGTGTGATCAAGCCCAGGTTGACAGATGATTATGGGCACATATGTGTGTGGATTCTGATGGGGAGTCGGTGAAGGTAGGGAAGCTTGCTGCAGTGAACGGTGGGAAGTGCTCCTCCGGTGTTCATGGACAGCCGACACTTACCACACTTGGCCACGGATTGGCTCATGCAGACAGCTACCTTGGTTCCGGCTGGGCCCCTTGCAGAAGACTCACACCCGAAGGTTGCTCTGTACCCAACCATAAAGGCCTAGACGTCCTGTCCCATCTGGGACTGCTCTGTGGGTCATTCATCCCGTCGGGTGTGTGTATGTGGTTGGGGGGGGGGACCTCAGGCCGTCCTGGCACCTGACTGCAGCCAGACTTCTTTCTCTTTCCCCTCTTTCTTCCTTCTCCTTCCTTCCACAGGTATTCATCCAAACATCCTGCATGCTAATCTCCACTTGGTGTGTTTTCCAGGGAACCCAGTCTGTGACATTAGTCAGAACGTGATGAGAGTAGTCTAGGCGACAGGCAATAAGGACTTAGGTTAGAGCAGTGTCATTTGGGATAGAAAGGTCAGACATAAAGTAGTCTTGGAATGGTTTTGCTGCCATGTAGACACCACTGGGGTTTCCGGAATTGGGACTCACCAGGACCAAGTCTATAGCCTATAGTCTATGCATAGTGTGTGTGAAAACATGACCGGGTGAGCAAATTAACTAATAAATAACTAAGAAACAAGTGAAACAGATGTGGGTGGTCATAGTTCCATGAACAGAGTGGGCCAAGGAAAGTGGGTCCTGTGGTTTGTCAGGCTATGGTAACGAGCCTTTGTCACCACATTTGATTCTGCTATGCTGACAGATACGCAGACTGAGGTGAAGAAAGCAGCGCAGAGCGCTTTCAATGAAATTCTTACTGTGCCTCAGTTGCAAATCCTCTGAATACTAATCAGACTTGAGATACTCTAACAGGTGCATCTTACCACCATCCATGCCAGCTGGGAAACCTGAAATGGCCGTTTGTTTCCCCGTGAGGGTACCCGCATTCTCACAGGGCACGCCGAGGCTTCACCTGCCTATACCCCAGTGCCCATACCTGCAAGCAGCCAGGAGACTTTTTATAATGAGAACCTTCATGACCTGTTAAAAATCAAACAAGATGATAAGCAGAATCCACAGTCAGTTCTGTTATCGTGTGCCTCTTTCTGCTAAAGATAGCAAATAAAACCTGCATAATTTTAAATATGGTTAATTGGGGACTGGCTAATCGGCTTTTTATGCTATTAAGAAAAGATAGTTCAGGGAATGGCCTAATTTCTACACTGATATAGGCAGGCAGCTTTCTATCTTGAGCATGTCTGTAACTCAGACGTAATAGTCCTTAGACATTAAAAGACACTTAATCCCCAAGGAAAACTCATCTTTGCTCAGCATACTGTCATTATCAACGGTGTCGTGATAGTTGCACAAATGTTTACTGAGCCCTAAACATGTGTCAAATGCCATGCTAAGCAGGCGCACTCGTGGTTATAAGGGCATAAAATCAACCCAGGAGGGGGGAGGAGGGTGTCAGGAAGGAGGGAGGAGGGGAGTGTCTAAAAGGAAGAAATTCTTGAGAGTGTCCATGTTCCCAAGCGTTCAGATACCATGAGAACCAAAAAGCATCCATTAGATTTAGTATCTGGCACATTAAAGCAGCTTTTGAGAAGCAGTTTCTGCAGGGTAGAGGCCAGAACATGGTGGCTTCATGTTAAGGAAGGAGGTGGAAACAGTGTGGAGGTTCCTCAAAAAATTTAAAAATAGACCTACCCTATGACCCAGCAATAGCACTGCTAGGAATTTACCCATGGGATACAGGAGTGCTGATGCATAGGGGCACTGGGACCCCAATGTTTATAGCAGCACTTTCAACAATAGCCAAACTATGGAAAGAGCCTAAATGTCCATCAACTGTTGAATGGATAAAGAAATTGTGGTTTAAATATACACAATGGAATAGTATGTGGCGATGAGAAAGAATGAAATGTGGCCATTTGCAACAACATGAATGGAACTGGAGGGTATTATGCTAAGGGAAGTAAGTCAGGCAGAGAAAGATACCATATGTTCTCACTCATATGTGGATCCTGAGAAACTTAACAGAAGATCATGGGGAGGGGGAGGGGGAGGGGGAGGGGGAAAAATGAAGTTAGGGAGGGAGGCAAACCATAAGAGACTCTTAAAAACTGAGAATAAACTGAGGGTTGATGGGGGTGGGAGGGAGGGGAGGGTGGGTGATGGGTACTGAGGAGGGCACCTGTTGGGAGGAGCACTGGGTGTTGTATAGAAACCAATTTGACAATAAATTTCATATTAAAAAAAAGGAAGGAGGTGGACATGGAAGGTTCTGAGTAGCTTTCTGGGAGCTTGATGTAAAGCAAAGGAAAAACACAGAGAGTGACTTCAGAACAGAAAACAAAGCAGAGGAAAAAGTTTTGAGTAGGTTTTTCTCTTTCAGATGTCACAGAATTGATCTTAGATGCTGAGAGAAAAGAACTAGTTGAGAGGAAATGGCAGCAAATACAGGGGAGGGATGAGCTACATTGATGCGAGGCCCCTAAGAGGCTGTCTGGTGTGGACTGAGGACGAGTGTTGGGTCAGGTCTGGACAACAGCCGTAATAGGAGCAACAATGGTAACTACTGATCACTATCTGCCACCCCTGCCTCAGTGTTCTTGCGGTTATCTGATCTTCCTTCCAAAGTATTATTAAATGTGTATAATTATTACTCCATTTTTACAGCTGAAGAGAATGGGAGACACAGACAAATTTTCAGGTGGGGAAAGAAATCAAGGTGTTGACTCCATGGGGACCTCAGTTTGACCCTAGAAAACAGGAGAGGAAATCTGCAGAGAATGAGGAGGAAGCTGATACATAGAAGACTGGAGGTGGATTTTGAAGGCTGGGAATAGGGTGAAGGATTTGAGAGTGGGCTGTACCTAGAAGTCGCAGCAGGTTTCCTGAGCAGCTCTGAGGAACCAGCTGAGGTACAAGACTGTGGGTTTTCACTTGTTCATAACCCAGGTGTGCAGCCCTGGCTCCCAGGAGCAGGGGAGGTGAATGCCAGGCTGTGGGTATAGTAGCTGCTCTAGTCCCTTCCATCATCTCTTTCGGTGACCTTATTCCTGCTTCCTAATTCCTCACAGCTGGGTGAACTAGACTGAATCTCAGTGTTACAATGAAACTTCATAACATAAAATTCAAAATTCATGTGAATGTTTCAGTCTGACAATTATTTTCCAACGCTAGAAGTGGGTGGACGCTGAAAATCCTCCATGCACGTGTGTGCATAGCATTTCTCAGGATAGGAGACGACCATCCGGATGAGGAAGTGAATTCCTCTATTTATGCAGCATTCCATATCTTCAGTATACTCATGGAATCTCAGACACATTTTCCTCTTAAAAGTGCTCCCCTCATTTATCAGCTTTCTTCTATTAGCTCGAATTCACTTTGAATTCACTTTCATGGTTAATTGTATTCAATAATTAAAAAATAATTTTAAAACCCAGTGTGCAACATCATGTTACATTTATCATCAATAGTGAGTCTGAAAAAGGGAAAATTAGAATAGTTGATGGTCTTTATTTTGGAAAGGTTTGGCTATAGTTGAATATGTGACTCGGAAAAAAGACATCTAATTAAGGTTAATCTATTTTGGCACTAGAATCACCTTACATGTGGTCTTAGAAATGATTTAGATGGGATGGATGCTTTATCAGTTAGCATCCAACTGGAAAAAGAGAAATCACTTTAGCTCTTTCCAATAGAACAGATTTAATGTAAGAACTTGGTTAAACAAGTAGAAATGATGAAAAGCCAATAGGA